GGCAGTTTACTTATATAATAAAAGAGCCGATGTAATATCTTACATGAAGCCTTGAAGGTTTTGCAAAATTTTCTCTTTGCCCTGTAAAAGCCTGTTTAGATTTGACTGCAATAAAGTTAAAATTCAGCAGGCTTCTACTACTCAGAAGAATCAGCTTCTAGTACCCATTGATATGCAATGGAGAGCATGTTTAGTCATAACAGGAAGTCCTTGTATTTAGAGAATAAAATGAGCAGTCTGTTAAATTTAAGTTACAAGAATTTTCTATGAAGTTCTTACACTGAACTGTGCATGCTCAGGATCACTCTCTTTCACCTCTTCACTGAAGACACTGTCTATGTTTTTACCAGATATGGAGTTTATGTTTGCATTACAACACAATCCCAACAGATGAGGATGATCACTAGGATAAAGAGTTTGTTTGGGTTTTGGATAATTCTGAAATGAAGACATTTCGGTTGTTTTCCTTTTTAACCTTTAAATACAACCAAACAAATGCCATTGGTTTTCAAACTTCTGGTGCTGAAGGAAAGGTATGAAATGTCTGTACATATTTACTCTTTCCTATAAACCCATAAACTGCCACATGTACCTGGCATGTGCAGAGACCACTGTGTTAAGTATGATTTTTATAGCTGACATTAGGTGGAAGTTTATAGAGAAACACTTCTGTTGCCATCAGCTGACACCAGTGTATTTCTTGGACATAATCACTTCAGCTCCCTGGAGTAAGATCAGTGAGCAACTAATAAAAGATTCCTGCAATAAACAGACAAGGTGAGACAGTGACTACGCAGAGGAGATCAAATTGCACCTCTGGGGAATATTGTACCCTGTCTAGATGCCTAGTGCGAACACAGTTATCTTTATCACTCCTGTTGATATATCTTCCTAGGAAACTCAGAGATATTATTCCAAAACACAATTCAGTTAATTTGGAATTATGAGATACTGCAAATGTATAAATATATTAAAAATCCCTCTCTTAAGCAGTCACCCTAATAATTTCAGGTTCTAAGAGCATGCTTAATTGTCTGCCTCATTGCATCATGCTCTGATCTCTATCTAAATTCATGATGAGGCAAGCATGTTCTTACAAAAGTTCTTCCTTGACGGAGCCAGTGAGAAAGAAGTGTGGTGTCACCATTACCTTGCCACTCTCTCATCTCAGTGTCTATATTTGCAAGCTGAGATTATAGCTGAGACAAGCTGACAAGGTTTATTTCATGCATTCAATGGAAAGGTGATTCAGAGGGGATATTAATGACAGCCACCTGTGTCAAAGTTTCAAATGTCAGGTCCTCTCAGAAAAAAACACCTAAACAAGCCATCAGAAAAGCAATGAGGAAGGAAGCCCTGAAAACTGGCTTTGCCCACTTTTGTGAGGCTGACGCAACATGTATGCTAGGAGTGTCTTTGGAATGGCTGTGGATAAGGCTGCAGTCCTAGTAAAGTGTGAAAAAAATTAGTGGAGCTATGCGAAGCTATGGAAGCCAGTGAATAGAAGCCACAACTGGGTTTAGCATTTCTAAGTAGGAATCTCATTGATACGACAGGTAGTGTACTATCACAGGTCACATCTTGGGACAATGGCAGGTACTGACTGCAGCAGCAACCACTGCATTAGCAAACACAGAATGCTAATGGTACAGAAGAGCTATTGGTAAATATGCACCAGCTGCCTCAAAGACGATGCATTCAGAGTCTACAGACCAAAAAACACATTATGCAATGTTGCAAAGCCAAAAAGCACCACTTGAGTTCCCAAAATATTTGTCAGAGCTATGATGCTTCTCATTTGTTAAGGGCTTGAAATTATCAGGTGCAAGTATTTCTAGCATTAATGTAAAAGCACAAACAGGTACTGATCAAAATCATTCTCCTTTTAGACGAAGATGGGTGTGTCTGCTCTTAAACTGCTTATTCACACCACTTAGCACAGCATTTTTAGTACTCTTTCTGTTTACAAAGGAAATGATTGTGATAAATGTAACAACCAACAGAGATAACTGTTCATTTTGCCGTTTATCTGGTGTCTGCAGGGCAAGACAGCTTCGCTTTGATGTCAGGTGCTCTGCTTAGAAGAAAGTGTTTATCATTTCATTGACTCTGGTCATCAAATACTAAAAAAATTCATGACAAAATTCTACTGTGTCACTCTCCTGTGGCAACACTCTGCACTCAGCATCTATTTGATGCAGATATGAGGAAAGGACATGAATTATCTAAAGACTAGAGCACTGCTATATAAAAATATGGACATTAATATTCAGTATTGCACTGTGAGTCCACATAGATACCATTATGAACATATTTAATAAGGAATAGGCCCAGTCCTAATTCTGCAATAGACCGAGGACTGGGAAAGGCTTAATGAACTTTTATACAATCAGAAAGCAAGTGGTTCTCAAAGCTTTTGAAAATTATACTTGTTCCACAGTTCCTTATCATTAAATTTTCAATTGCCTGAATAATCTCTATGTTTCCATATGAAAATCAATAGGAATTTTATCACCTACAAAATGGAGAATTGTTCCTTTATATTTTTATGTTTACTGCAAATAAATCAACATTTTTAAATGGAATCTTCACTTTTTAAAATGCAAAACTTCATCAGTATTTGCTGTTTAGCTTCTTAAGGGGTTTTACCAAAGAAACTGCATTTCATCTCACAGTACCGCTAAGAGAAACTTGGACATTTCCTTGGAAGTTTTTAATAACTGGAATGAAGGATTCTGGCTGTCACATTTTAGTGCACGCGTAAGATATGGTCATACATTATTTTTATCAATGAAAACATACACACCACATCAATAGGCTATCTCCTCTTTTTCAAGAGGGAGTAGGGGTGTGCTTTCCAGTGAATTTATTTTAGAAAGAAAGTCAGGAGTACATGTTATTACTTGCTGCCAAGCAAGCTAGATACTTCTATTTGAATCTAGATGGAACTGCAATACTTAACTGAATTTGCTAGGCACAAGTACATGAAATCCAATATTGATAATAATTTATGAAGGTAAGAATACTGATTCCTATAGTATTGCTAACTTAGTTTATGATAACATAATTAGTTACACTAATAACACTGCTTAGGCACAGTGCAGCTAATTATGATATTATAAATATTAATGATATCAAGCCTTTGTATTTGATTGCCCCTAGTAGGATCATTTATCACAGTACTTCCTTTTACCCGTCTGGTATTATTTTTCTTCCTTTTCCCTTGAATGCTTATTCTTGGACAGTCATCCTGAGCTTCAGTTTAAAAAATATCACTGCTTTATCAATGGTGCAGCTTTATATTTTATTTAGTAGCAATGATCCAGTGATATAATTCTATGCTAAGGGCAATCAAATACAGAATTGGTTATATTCTGAATATCTTGCTCTTTTTAAATGCCTAAAAAAGCCAGCCAGCCATGATTACATCGGGCTTTGTTTTTCATTCTTTTTCATGTGACTCGTTTCAAGTTAAGATTGCTTTGAATTATTAAGTGCTCCCTTAAAGCATCTTTTCACACTACCTTTTTCAACGTTAACTATTGATTTAGTGACAAGCAGAAAATTATAATCTTTTTCTTATTCAAAAGGACACTAGAAACATCTTTGTCAATGGCTGTCTGTTTAGTAAAATGCAAACTTAATTCCAAGAACAGAGAGTGCTGCTTTAAAGAATTGCAAAAAATCTGTGTCACATGAATTGAAAATGCTGTATTTCTACAGGTGTTACAGAAAGGAAGTTTGGATATAACCCTCTGAGACTGGCTTAACTGCTTAGCTTAAGTAGATGAAAATGAAACTGCTTATATCTTCTTTTATTTTTAAGCAGTGTATTATTCAGAGCTTTAGGAATGGGATTGTCTTTTCTTCTGAAAGGTAATGTTATAATTTTCAGAGCTCCACAGAGAACAACAATTCCGGAGTCTCTAATCTCCTGCTAAATCCAACTCCAGTCATCAGCAATGATAAGCAGAGATTTGGAGGCATTTGACACTCCAAATCCTATTCTTTTGTAATTCTTTACTTTTTACAACATTTTCAACAGTGTTATATCAGATTTTTAGAAGGATAATCAATAGGCATGCTGTATAACTGAAATCAGTCTTCAAAGGGATCCCCTCTAGTAACTAGAAACAAAAGCTCTGCCTCCCCGCTGTGCAGATATTTTGCTTAAAGCAGTAGGCAGCAGGGCGTCAGTAGGAAGCTGGTTACACCTCCCTGCTTCTCAGCGAGGATCAGCAGGTGTCCTGGTGTAGGGGTGAGCAGCACTGGGGCTGCTGCAATCTATTGTATCCGGCAAAAATCTCCAAAGATGCTTTTGTAGTAGGGAACTAGTAGAGCAGAGAGGAGGGACAGTCCAGAGGTTAGGAATTCACGCAGACCATAGTTTACATTCCTATTCCACCACTGACTTTCTAGATTTAAATGATCTCATGGAATTTATTAAATCATTCAGTTTTTCTGTTCATCACCTGGAACTTCCTGTCTTGTAGTAGGTATGGGAGTCAGTATCCATGACAGACCACGAGGTGCTCAGGCATGATGACTGTAGGATCATCTCCTACTTGATGGAGCGTTCCAACTATCTACTTGGTTGTGACAGAAGCTGTTTTAGATGGTCAAGTCTAGTGCTAGGGGCCTTTCATATCTCCTGAATATTTCATTATGATGGAACACCCTGGCACAATATCAGTATCTGTCAAAATAGAGTTGAGTTTCACTAGAACAAGCAGTCCAGAAATTGCTCCAAAGCATTTGTTATTTCACATTCTACACATTAAACCACTACTACAAACAGAGTGGAGACATCATATTCAGAGTAAAAAGTTATCCCATATCAAGGCATTTCAAGTCTGCCTCCTTAAGCTGCCCTTAGATATTTGCTAATACACTGAACAAAAAAACCCAAAAACAAACAAACACAAAGCAATTAGCAGAGACTGTGTACAGTGAAGATGGAAATGCATAGACATAGAGTTATACAGGAATAACAATGATACCTTTCCTACCAGATCAGCAATACTGGATACCGGTTTTCCTTTCTGATGGCGCATGGTTGCAGGACTCTGTCCATTCCAGTCTCCAAGTTCCTCAATGCTTTTCAGGTAAAGAAGAGCTCGCAGTCCAGTGCAGTAGTCATCAATAACAGTGAAATCTTGATTCTGGATTGCGCTGCACACCTATGAAATGTAAGTCCAGTTATCAACAATGTCCAGGCACAAGAAGAGCGAGCACAAGAAGTTAGCAAACTTTTTGGATTTACTGATTACTAGATGACCCTCATAGCAACTAAACTGGCAAAGAACAATTGGTATTTATTGGCTGCTTGCTCCTATGTCAGTTCAGGAAAAGAAAGGACTGTGTAACTCCGATTATGTCTAGGTTTCCTGATGGAAGACTTTAGACCAGATCTGAAGGCTGTTTAGAAGCAAATCTGCAGGCCTTGCCCTAAGAGCAACCAAAGTGCAATTCCAGGACTCTGCAGCACACACAGATGCTACCTGCATATGCTGGGTATTCCCTAGCCTGCTTGTTTGGGAAGCACAGATAAATAGATTTAGACCCCAATCAAAGAGAGATTCTGTAGACCAGCCTTCCAGCTCAGAGAAAGGTCAGTCAGAGGAGGCTAGTCAGGATCACAACCATTTGGGTTTTGAGTATCTCCAAAGACAATCCACAACTTCTCAAGGTTTACTATCCAATTGCCCTTACAGTTTTTTTCATATATTTAAATTGAACACTCTGTATTCCAATTTATGCCCATTGCTTTTGTCCTTTCCCTGGATATCACTGAAAGGATACTTTAGGTGCTTTAGAAACACAGGTAGCAGTATAGCTTCATAAGCATACAGAGCAACAATCCCTGATGTGCAAAGCTTAACATTTAGACACAGAACTACTGATAGCATACAACTGCCTGCCTGACAAGTTACAAGGTTTTTTTTAAACTACCCTGTGGGTATCAGCTCTGATTGAAAACCATAGAGATCCCAACTAAACTGACAACAAGTGAATAAAATGCTCCAACTCCTCTGAACACATTCTCATTAGCTAAATCCTAACCCACCAGCGGAGAGATACAGGGTTGGTTGACTACTGCTAATTGTCATTCCCTGGAAATACTCATAAATTCCAGATGTGTCAGTGTTTTCAGATTCTGATTCAGCTTTTATTCTAAAAACTAAAAACAATGCTCCTGATAAAACTGGCATTTACATACACACATAATGAGCACAAAATTGAAATAGCTATCTACCTTTGAACATGAATGTATGGATGTGCACAAATGCAGGCACACTCTTTGGATAAGAAAATATACTTCAGACCACGTTTGGTATCAACACAATAATACAGGGAAAATTAAATGCAGGAACTATATAATTCTTTTTCATATTTAAGATACGATAATACAACTTGCAAATTTGCAGAAAGGTGCACTTCACATTGTAAAATACCATACACTATTACTATGCAAGAGAAAAAATAAGGACAAACTACAATTTAAGCAGAACGTTTTCTATGCAGTGCGTGTACATTATACAAAATCTGTATTTCTGCAGAAACAGCGTGGGCATTAATTAGGTTTGCTATGCCTTCCTCAGACTTCAAGATTTTTATTATTATTCCAGAGAAATTACAGAGAACATCCTAATAATTTCTGGTACAGGATATTTAACAGCAAATCTCAACTGCTGCTTATTTAAACCTCTTTGTTCACCAACAAATTTTCTATTATTTTTGTGCACAGGTACCCCTTTTATTAACTATGCTTAAAAATACTAAAACTGTAAAAAAAAAAAAAATCAGTCAAAAGCCACATTATGTCACTTGAAATAAGTTCAGGCACTGTTGTCAAAATCTTGAAGTATTTTGACAGGATGTATACACATGAGACACACTGGAGGATACCTGTAATAACCTTATAAATAAGGAGGCTTTTACTGTTTTCTATCTTATGGTGCAGTGTTATGAACTGCAACAATATAGAAATGTGCAGAAGATGATATCACACTAAGACTCACTGGGATCAATCCGAGTTCCATGTGCATTTCGCTGCTTGACTTTAGCAGGAAGCCAAGAAGGTTCCAGAACTGTTTTAGTCTTATAGTATCTTCCATTGATCTTCCAATCAATGCAGAAGGCTTTGTTGCCTTTTAGAAGGGGTTGAAAAAGAGAAAGGGGCACTGCACAATGTTAGCCATGACAATTTCTACACTACAGAGATAGCTATTTAGCATCACACCTGGCTGCCTCTGTTTAGATGACACTGTGCCCCCTTGTCAGCACAAGAGAGGTGGCAGGGCAGCAGACTCAAAATCCAGGAAAATCTCAGAACTGAGTTGACCTGTCTCACACATCACCAGTGCCCCTGCTTTGGTCCTGTTGATTGCAGTGGGAGCAGGCATGCTCACTCTCCTCGCAAAGCTGAACGCTGAACACTCACTTCTGCTGATATCTTATTTTACAGGTGTGAAGAGCAGCAAAAGTGGTCCAGCTATAGCTGTATTTAAAATGGAACTGCCTTTTGATTGCACCATCATTTAATGTCTTATTAAACCACCTCAACAGGAGATTAATGCAAACAGGGTGCTACCCTGACAGATACTGTCAGTGCCTCATGCTTGAACCTGATGGAGAGCAGCCCTGTCTGTCGTCATCCCACTGTTAATATCAAGCTTTTCAAGACTAAACACAGTGAAATTTATTTCCCTTTAGACCCTGAAGCAAAAGCCTAAACTTCACAACTGAGCACAAATGAATGGTTATATTGCTCCAGACCAGCAGCCCAAAACCTGTGGCCAACAGAAACTGCTTATGGACAAGAAGTGGGCTGCTTATTTGGTTGAACATCCCAGGTTTTGGAAAGCAAAGGTGCTGGGACTTCACGTGGCAGAGACAGCATCTGTTCAACGTCCCTTGGTCCTGCATAATTCAAGTGAATCATTCTTGTGAGTTAATTAACATTCAGCAGTGCACTGACCCAGGCATTCACCTGAAACAGTTAGGTAGAAAGTAGCCTTTTCTTCTTCAGAAGAGGAAGGCCCTATAAGTAATCAAGGGCTTTGTGACTACGTGACATCCTTGACAGTAAGATCCCTTCTTTTTACCTAATTCAGATTCCTCTTTCTTTCCAGCTGTTATCCTTTGCTCTCCAAAAGAAATAAACAAGCCGACATACTGTGTATGATCAGTAATACTGTACCCTTAATATTCTGAAATATAAAACTGTTCAGCATAAGTTGCAATGGTAGGTAACAATTCTAATCTATACAGACATGTCTGAGATACTGAAAGACACACAATGCCTGCTTTGCTGCTGGTAAATCAAACATACACAGCATGATCTCATTGGGGAACGTGGGTGCGAAATGAATCACAGGCTAAGGCTCTAAGTAAAACTGCTCTGCAGAATGCAGCAATGGAGGAAACATTCAAAGGTCCATGCTGATGTCTTGCATACAAAATGACCTGTCTGCTCTATTACTACATAAACATAAATAACCAGTCTAGCTTTGTCAAAGGATCTAGAGCCATTACAAATCTTACTTGAGGAACTGGAGTAAATTGTCAGGTTGTTATTATTGTGTAAAAGGAATATTACAGAATACATGATTTTTTTTAATCATTCACATCAATCTGAAACTTTTAATTTGCATACTATGAAGAAAAAGTTCATTATCAGTGACAGGTTCTACTACAGCAGTTATACAACACTGTAAGTGCCTCTGCTTTTAGCAGAATCATTACACAACAAAGAGAAGGCAATTTCTGAAGTCTTTCCTGAGACAAATCCCTTAAGAGATCTGTGTAAGAACTTTAAGGTTTAGCTCATAACCAATATTTCTAGCAGGAACAGGAAGAATATCCCCACACTGCATTATCATCCTGCCCAAACTCTGGCATAAGCCAGGGGGCTGTATGCAAGACCTGTGCCATTCACTCAGTGCTCTGAACAAAGCGGCACTGAAGCATTTCCAGCCAGATCATCCACTGAAACAATTTCTATCCAGTGCTTTTCTCACCTTTTCCAATGGAAGATGTTGCAGATGACAGAATAATTTCTATGAAACTAGAAAGAAGAAATCAGCGGGTCAGAGAATCTGGTCTGTTTAGTAATGAGTTGCTTTTCAAGAAGTCTTCTTGGTGTGATTAGATCTGTGAGAACAAGAACACTGCAATGCCTAGCAGCAGTCATGCTCCTATTTGAAACTGTCTCAAGATCACTGTTAAATCCCTTTGCATTTGTGGTAGGTAGTTTAAAAGACAATAGCTTGGAGAAAATTTTAATTTTTACACACTCTGAAATATATACATGTAGCTCTCTTCAGAATACAGGTATAAAATAATTGTCATCTTTAAGAAACCAGAAGTAACAGTAAGGAGGCATATGGGTGGCAGTGATACACAGTAGAAGTAAGAGGCAGAAGTAAGAAAATTGATGGGTATATATTTGTATACAGAAATGCAAAGCACATAGTTTGACTGTTCTACCATATTAGTTTCCATTTGCTGTAGCTGTACAACATCAAAGCAGTGATGTTCTCATATACTGCATTTAGTGATAATATAACGGGCTAGCAATATATAAATAAATAAATAAATAAATCAAATAAATAAATAAAATCAAAGTGAGAGTTTCTAAGTAGTTTCCTGGCAATTGAGACAGCAGGCTCTTTCATCTGTGCTGTAACTGTGGCAGCGCATTGATTTAAACTCCTTCTGAGATCTCAAATGCTTTTATATTCTTAGGTCTTGCTGGCTGCTTTCTCTTTGCTTTTTTTCCTCCCTTCAAATGATAAAATTCTAGCATTTAGCAGAATGCCATCTTGCTTCCCCAGAAGACGGAGACTTATTTCAGCTTCGGTTCTAAACTGCACAGGATCTCTAAATAAAACAGCTCTCAAAATGCCACCCTATTAGGAAATCAGTCTTTGACTTCACAGTTTCTAATATTCTTATCATAGCAAATGGATAAACAAATATTATTCCTCTTGGATACCCAGGAGAGGTTTTACAATGAATTAACATTTATTTCCTATTAATTTGGCTGCTTTTGAAATATCCAAATGGTAAAGAAAATAATTACGCACTGTTTTGATTTTATATTATAATATATATTCTATTTTAGCATTATCTATCACCATTTTACAGAAGCTTTCTTTTTCTACTAAAATGCTTC